TTTATATATATATATATATTTCTAATTACCAGGGTATATATTCTTATGGTCACTTTTTTTTCACTTATATTTGAAAATTGTGAACATATCCTACATACAAGAGTATTTATAATGTATGTATACAGTTAAAAGTGTACCCACTGGGTTTCATTCAGGAATCGGAATTATACTCAGTTAGTTTGACTAAAGAGATAGTAATGTGGATACTATTTAAAGGGGTGTAGTGGGGTTACGAGAATCATCCGTTGAGGCACCCCAACCATCAGGTTGAGGTTAAGAACCACCAATGTGAGAGTCTTCGTGCAACAGTTGGAAGCCCATACTATTTCTATGCTAAAGAGCAAGGGAGGGAAGCATTTCCAGAGCTCTATGAGCTGGAGCCATGGAGGAGAAACCCCTAGTCAAGAGCCACAGTTGTAGAGACACAGCTACCGCCAAATCCTTAGCCCCAAGCAGAGAAAGAATGGATAAAATATACCCTAACTCTCTTTCCTCCTGCCTCCAGTCTCCTGTGGATGCCTCCATTGTTCAAACCCAAATGGAAACCAGCTGAGGAGAGCCCAGGTGATGTTTTCCAAAGAGGTCCGCTTCTGGGATAAAAATAGGGCAGGGAAGGGAGAAAAATAAATATGAGGGTAGGCAAACAGAAAACCCAGAGAGTCTACCTGTTTTTCCCACCCTGGATTTATTCTTGCCCTTTGTTCAAATGAAGAGAAGCTCATCCCCTGCACACAAGAATCACAGAATCCTACCAATCACTAAATTGCTTTGAGGAGATGTCAATTTGGGCACTCTGACCTAGGAATGAAATTATAACACTTGTCTCCACCAGTACTCTTCATACAAAGCAACAGGGAAAGAGGGGCAGGGAAGCTATAACCAGGTAACACTTTATGTGCAGAGCTACAATAGTCCCTGCCTCTACAGCTTATTGCTAGGCTAAAAATGAGAATCGAGGCTTCCTACTTTATTCATGTGTGTTTCCCTTGTCTTATGCACTACCTTGGTAGATCAGGAACTTTTTAACCTGGTGTGTGATGCAACACTGTAATTTTTGCATGGTCTGAAATTTAAGTGGTCCTGACTTTATCGGGTTGCTGCAGTTATCTAATGATCATTATTATTGTAGATGGGAGTAGTAAGATGTCCCCAGGGAATCTCTGGGTGTCATGCACAGTTCCCCTTGCCTTCATTGTATAGCTGCAACCCAGCTTCCTCTCAGTAATTGGGATTAGTCATCCCAATTCTATCTCTATGAGGAACCAAAATAATCAGGGGGCAATTTCAGCTTCCAATTCAATAGAACCATGGCTTGGCCCCTGAATGGCAGCATCTCTTTCCTTTGAACTTGGACTTCCAAAAAAATGATAAACCCAAGGTTGCAGAAGAGGTGTGCTGGATATTTTCTATTTGTCCTGCCAGTCTTTGTCCCTAAGAGGCTCACCTCTATAGACTGCATCCACTTTTCTCCTTTTTCTTCTGGCTTCCTGTCCACCCTCAACATTAAACCTATTCTGCAAGTAGAAAAGTCCTTAAAAATGTTTATAACTGAGGATGATATGTTTAAGTGACAACCTCTCACGAGATACACTCTCTTCCTGCAAACAGCTCCAACAGTAGTTGGTGCCATTTCTGGAGAATAACAGTGACATGGCTCATTCAAGTCTACTGAGGCTTAGCTGGCGCAGGAACATGGATTCTCATGTACCTACGTTATTGACAAAGCTCAGTGAAGGCGTTCTGCTTCCTCTGCCTCCTCTCAAAATCTGACAGCTCGGTCGCTGCGGTATTGAATTTGCCTCTTTCACCCGCTTCTTCCAGGTGCCTGGTGCAGAAGAACGCGGTAGGCCTAAGTCAGGCGCGGGCCCTTTAAGGAAGCCAAGGGCTGCGCTGATTGGCTGAGGGTCGGAATCCACAGGCCTGCCTAACGGATCTGCGAGGCGGGGCCCGGTTCCTGGCGCGGTCTCGGGGACCGGAAATCCGAGGGCCTCAGCGTGGTTCACGGCGTCCCTGGTCCTCCGCCGCCCAGTGAGTGAACGCCTGCTGTGCGCGACCCGGCGGCCGCAGGTGGGTGGAGCGCGGGGGTCCCGGTCTTCCGGCGCTGAGCATCCGCGCCCCCGGCGCGCTTCCTGCCATTGTGTCTTCAGCCGGGTTCCTGAAAGGACGCTTCCTGTGGCTGGGGCAGCCTGGCCTTTCCCCTGAGGGTGTAATCGAGTTGGGGAAGTAAAGGCGATATCCACGTAAATCTGCCTACCATCCGGGAAATACCCGTTACGGGAATCCAGTCCTTGAAGGGCGGGTAGAGTCAAACTAGGGAAAACCTCCGGAAGCTGTGAGGTAAGGGGCTGGAGTTTGCAGGGGAAGTGGGCTAATTTAAGTGGAACGCAATGACTTATTGAAAATTGTAATTTTACAACCAGTCATAAATGTAGGTAGTTAATATGAAATTGGACCAGGAAGTGAGTCAGTGCAGAAATCTGGATGACAGAGGTCGTGGGCTATGGGATTATCCTTTTTAAAAAATAAGTAAAATCAAATCCAGATTCCCAGCGGTGCCTGGAAGTTGCAGCCCCAACACTCCTCAGAAATACCCCTTCCCGCTGTAATCTGTAGCACAGCTGAGACAGGGCTGGAGTATTAAAGAGCCCTTTTTAACGTCTCAGGAGTAATCAAAGGAAGAGTGCAGTCATTGGGAGCTCAGCATTCTCAGCCCTCTGAGACACACTGGTGTCTAAGTTTTAAGTATCAAGAAACTTGTCACCAATGATAAAGTGTTGGAATCTTTGAAAAACTCTCCTTATACAATTGAGTGAATTCAGTTATCCCTATTGCAACATCACTCATACTTATTTTCTTTCCCCAGTTTCATTGAGAAATAATTGACATACATCACTGTATACGTTTAAGGTATACAGCATGATGGTTTGACTTACATATATTTCTATCGTCTCATATAGATACAATAAAAAGAAAAGAAAGAAGAAAAAACTTTTCCCTTTTTGTAATGAGAACTATTAGGATTTATTCTCTTAGCAACTTTTCTATATATCATAGAGTAGTATGAACAATAGTCATTATTTTTCTAATATATACTTTGTGAGTGGGAGAGAGAAGATTGAGAGTATTCTGAAGACCCTAAGAAACCTCCCAGGCTTTGGAAAATGGCTTTGTTAGGGTAGGAAAAGTTGAAAATACTCAACTCCAAAGTGTACTTTACAGGGTGTGGTGCACTCACTTTCAGGTTCACACCCCTCTGCACCACAGGAAAGCTCTTCTAGCTTGACTTCTAGCTTTAACCCTTGGGAGTGTTGCCTAACACAACCAAATTACAATATATAGACCCAAGAGAGCAAGGCCCGGAAAGAGGTAAACCTAAATCCTAACTTTCCAGATAGTTGTTTTTTTTTCCCTAGATGGCTGGCGTGAGGACTCTCCTTGTACTTCAGGGGAGATCCCACCTTTTAATAAATAGGAGCACTGTAAGAAACACAGCTCTGTGACAGTGTGTGTGTGTGTGTGTGTGTGTGTGTGCGTGCGCGTGCGCAGGAATAGGATTAGAGGACAATTGTTCTCTTTATAAATGTTTGCAATGTATGTAAAAATTCAATTATCCACTCCTATATGCAGGAGAAAAATAAGAAATGGAAAGTGACCTGAGCTACCCTTTTTCTAGTATCACTTGTTGCTTTCTGCAAACTTTTATGGGAAAGAGACATGGTGGAGACTGCCAAGATGGATAATACATTGCTTCTGCCTTCAGGCAAGTTCTGGTCTGCTGTTGGAGACAATTGACATGGGGCTGTCAGAGTTTGCAGAAAGGAAAGAATTTATGCTAGATCTTCCCCCTCTCAGTGGGTGACCTCCAGTTCTGGTCACAGGATGGAATGGGGCAGTGGCAGACTGGGAGGAAAACCTCATGACCTCCCAGGCCTGTTCAGGGCCCTGCCTCTTCTCTCTGATGAGTGACGGGCCTCTTCCCAACATTAATGCTGACTCTGGATCAGAGGCCCCTGTAATTCCAGGGTGTGTCTTTGGCCAGAATACAGAAAAGCCACTGAAGTCTGGCTTGAAGTTCCCACTTACCTGGAGCCCTAATAGCAGGGATAACCCATTCCACCTGGCATGAAATACCCTCCCTCCATTCTTCTCCCTAGTTAGCCAGAACTCAAGATTTCCTGATATGGATATGGAAAATAGGAGCACCAATGGCTTCCCCCAGAATTCTGTGAATCCTGAGTAGAAGCATTAATATTGGCCACTCTGGCCCAAGGTTCATAACCCTGCTCAACAACCTACCAGAGAATCAGCAGCATTGTTGAGGAAGGTAGAGCAATTGTAATGTCCTTGAGTTTTGCATTCTGAAAGTAAAATCAACAACTGAAGGTTTTCTGTACGTACCCAATTGGATTAAGAACAAAAAATTAGAGTTCTGGCCTACCTAGAACTGACAGCCCACTTAAGAACCTCTTAAGTAAGTCAGGTAAGACAAGGCAATACTATATATTCATTTAAAAATTGATGAGTGACTGGCCTCTTCCCAACATTAAAGCTGACTCTGGATCAGAGGCCCCTATAATTCTAGGGTGTGTCTTTGGCCAGAATACAGGACAGATATTTATTTCCCAGGACATTTAATTATCCTTATGTTTTCCTCCTTGAGAACTTCCGTAGTAACCTGAAGAGAACAATGGTGAAGCTAGAGGAGGATGGCCAAGGGATGTCAGTAGTAGGTAGATGGAAATAGAGGGTGTGTAGGAGAGGGTCAGGGATTACAAAAAGAGTATTGATATAGCGACCTTGAGATACTTAAAACTTCCTAAAACACAAATGCAAGGAGCACAGACACATCTGTCCTTAAAGTGCACAATGCATCTTCTGAATTACCCCTCAGGAACAAAGAAGGTAAAAGGATAGTTGATATTCACCCTGCCCCTCAGAAAAAAAAGAGGGTTTTTTTCCTGTCAGTTTTTAAGTATTTAGTTCTTCAAGATTTACTGTGGGAAACAAAATCAGGAAACATGGAGCCATATACTTACAAAGCAGAAGATTTTGGAAGCCATCTAGTTCAATCAGCTGGTCTTAGTAAATGAAGGTTAAGCAATTAAGTTTGCCCACAACCAGACAGCTAGTTAGGAGCAAGGACTAGAATCCACACTGTGTTCCCAGGTCAGAGTTTTTTCTTTTTTTTTGTTTTTAACGTTGTCATACGCTCACAATATCCCAAAGCAGAGCATTTGAGGGATGCATGTAGAATATATTGTTTCAAGCCTCTTTGCTTTTTTTATATTTTAGGTCAAGATGGGGTTTATATTTTCAAAATCTCTGAATGAAAACATGAAAATCCAACAGGAGTTCATGCTTATGAATGCTCGACTTCAGGTACATTTTATTTTATTATTTATTTATTTATATTTATCTTTATTGTTGTAAATATTACAGATGTCCCCTTTTTTCGCCCATTGATCCTCTCCACCCCGCATCCACCCTATCCCCAAGCCTTCCCCATACCAATGTCTGTGTCCATGGGGTATGCTTGTAAACATGTAAGTTCTTTGATTAATCTCTCCCCACCCACTCCCCCACCTCTGCCTTCCCTCTGAGATTCCCTCAGTCTGTTCCATGCTTCTGTGTCTCTGGATCTATTTTGTTCATCAATTTATTTTGTTTATTACATTCCACATATGAGTGAGATCATGTGGTACTTGTCTTTCTCTGACTGGCTTATTTCATTTAGCATGATATCTCCAGTTCCCTCCATGCTGTCCCAAAGGATAAGAGATCTTTCTTTTTTATAGCTATATAGTACTCCATGGTGTAAATGTCCCACAGCTTTTTTATCCACTCATCTACTGATGGGCACTTGGGCTGTTTCCAGATCTTAGCTATTGTAAATAATGCTGCTATGAACATAGGGGTGCATAAGTTCTTTGTGATTGGTGTTTTGGGTTTCTTAGGATATACTCCTAGAAGTGGTATCACTGGGTCAAATGGCAGTTCAGTTTTTAATTTTTTAAGGAAACTCCGTATTGCTTTCCATAGTGGCTGCACTAGTCTGCATTCCACCAGCAGTGTACTAGGGTTCCCTTTTCTCCACACCCTCTCCAGCACTTGTCATTCATTGATTTGTTGATGGTAGCCATTCTGACATGTGTGAAGTGATACCTCATTGTGGTTTTAATTTGCATCTCTAATGATTAGTGACTTCGAGCATTTTTTCATGTTTCTTGGCCATCTGTTTGTCTTCTTTGGAGAAGTATACTTATCTATTGCCATTTTAATTCTTTATGCCTATGTTTCTCTCTCTCTCTCTGTTTCTACTTCTAATTACAGCAGTTGCTTTAACATTTCCTGCAATGCTGGTTTGGTGGTGATAAACTCCTTGAGACTTTTTTGTCTGGGAAGCTCTTTATTTCACCATCTATCTTGAATGATAGCCTTGCTGGATAGAGTAGTCTTGGTTTCAGATCCTTGTTTTGCATTACCTTGAATACTTCATGCCATTCCCTTCTGGCCTGTAGAGTTTCTGATGAGAAGTCAGCTGACAGCCTTATGGGAGCTCCTTTGTAGGTAACAGATTGATTTTCTCCAGCTGCCTTTAATATTCTCTCTTTGTCTTGAATTCTTGGCATTTTTAATTATGATGTGTCTGGGCATGGGCCTCTTTGGATTCTTCTTGCTTGGGACTCTCTGAACTTGTGTGACTTTTTCTTTGACCAGGTCAGGGAAGTTTTTGCCATTATTTCTTCAAATTCTCTATCCCTTGCTTTTTGTCTTCCCCTTCTGGTAGACTTATAAATGCGAACATTGTTACGTTTCATGTCATCCCACAGCTCCCTTAGATTATTCTCCTGTTTTTAATTGTTTTTTCTTTTTGGACTTCTGATTGAGTGATTTTTCTGTACCCTGTCTTCTAATTTGCTGACCTGAACCTCAGCTTCCTCTAATCTGCTGTTTATTCCTTCCAATGTATTCTTTGTTTCTGCTATGTCATTCTTAATTTTCTTCATAGTTTCCATATCTTTTTTTATGCTGTTGGGCATCCTTACAATCAGTATGCTGAACTCTATATCTGATAGATTGCTTATCTCCATTTCATTTAGCTCTTTTTCTGGAGACTTCTCTTGTTCTTTCATTTGGGGCTTGTTTTTTTGTCTCCCTATTTTGGCTGCCTATGTATTAGGTAGATCTACTAGGACTCTCAGTCTTTTTGGAGGGTCTCTGGTGCAGGCCAATGTCAGACGCAGTTTGTGACTGGCCCTGAGTACCTTGTTTGGAGCTATCAACAACCCTTGGCTTGAGGTCCCCTCTGCTGGGGCTGGGTGTGGTTGGACAGGACCAAGGTGCACACCAAAGTCTGCTTTTCCAAGGCCTGGGTCCAGAAGCAGATTAGGCAAAAACTCAAAGCACTCTGAGCTCCACCTCTGGCTGCAGGCTGATTAATCTGATTCTCTTAATGAGCCTCAGGCTGTGGAAACTCCTTAGGTAGGGAAAGAGGTTTTCTAGCAGGGTGGGGCAATTGCTTACCCCTCCCCCTTACCCCCCCAGGCAAAAGCAGCAAAATGTCTGCCTGAGAAAGATATCCTCCTCTGCAGTATAGGGGAATAACTTGGCACAGGAATACAGATGTATGCCTTCTAATCTCTATTTCCAGAGCCCACAACCCTAGATTGTCCTCACACAGCTCCAGTCCACTCTGCCCTCCCTCTGCAGGAGCCCAAGGTGAGTGCTGCACAGGAAACTTTGTGCTTTGGCTCTTTAAGAGGGTGCCTGCATTTCCAGCTGTCTCTCCCTGGCAGGCAGAAACCTGGCTGCTTTTCACAGCCAGATGTTATGTGAGCACCTTTCTCAGTTCTGGTGCTCTTGGCTGGGAAGCCCAGCCTGGACTTTAGGCCCCAGAGTCCTCAGTAGGAAACCTCCACAGCTGAAATATCCCTCTGGACCTTCAGCTGCTGCCTGTGGGAGCCCAACCAGCCCTCTTGCACCTCTGCACTTCCTACCAGTCTCTATGTGGTCTCCACTTTTCTTCCTTCATTATGAGGGTGCTCTCCAGCTTGTCTTCAGTTGCAGTTGATTATTCAGGATGGTTTTCTATATTTTAGTTATAATTCCAGTTTGGTCCCAGGAGAGTGTCAGTGTAGCTTCCACTCAGACCATTGCCATCTTTAATCAGGTACATTTTTAAATAATTTAAGATCTTATGTTGCTACAGTGGTTGAAGTTTCTGACGCATGTGCTCCAGCAATATATTCTCTTTGATCCCTAAAGGTAAAATGCTCTTGGGGCTCCATCCTCAAAGCCAACATGAAATGGATTATTAATTACCTAGTGAATAGGCTTTTTAAAATCTCCAATCCAAGTATTTGTGTTAAAAATTCCATACTAGAGGAAGAGACAGCTGCTTAGAATAAAGGATAGGCAGAATGAGACCACCACCACCCTAAAGATATCTGTATCCTGATCCCCTGTGACTATGTTTTCTTACATGTCAAAGGGACTTTGCAATGTGATTAAGATAAGAAGCTTGAGATGGAGAAGATCCTGGATTATCCTGGATTATCTGGATGGGCCCAATGTAATCACAAGGGTCCTTATAAGGGAAAGGGAGGAAAGAGGGCCAGAGAAGGGGAGAGAGAAAGAGATTTGAAGATGCCTTGCTGCTGGCTTTGAAAATGGAGTAAAGGACCATGAGCCTAGGAACACAGACAGACTCTATAAAATGGGAAAGGCAAGGATATGGATTCTCCCCTGGAGCCACCAGAGGGAATGCAGTACTACCAGCCCATTTTGGACTTCTGACCTCCAGAACTGTAAGATAACAAATTTGTGTTGTTTTAAGCAACTAAGTTTGATAATTTGTGATAGAGCAATAGGACACTAATACAGAGAGTATGAAAACTTGACACTGGATTTATACATAGGTTGGATAGAAAAGATCAAAGCAAAGTAGAAGATTGTCTAATTGCCTAATGTAGGTTTTCAAAAAAGTATTTTTAAATGTTGTATGTCAAAATCAAGTGTTAAAAGTTTGACTGGAATTATCTTCCTAAGATTTCAAACAAAGATCTCTAGGCCTCTGTGGTTCATTATGGCTCTGAGAGAAGAAGGTCCTACTCTGAGGCAGTATACTGAGTGGCTAAAAATGAGGACTAAAGTCAGACTGCCTGGGGTTGAGCCCCATCTCTACCCCTGATTAACTGTATGACTGTGCCTCAGTCTCCTAATCTGTAAGCTGGAGATGATAGTATCCCCTTCATAGGGTTATTTTGAGGAGTAAAGATGGTAGTATATAAAAAGTATATAGAACAATGCTTCAGGTCTTTAGAACAATCTCTCACTCTATAAGTATTAGTTGTTGCTGCTGCTATTATTGTTATTAAAGAGTAATAAGAGTAATAATTGTGCAGGATAATGATGTCTTTTGGGGGAATGGAACGATTGAAAGAACGGGCAGTTGAATTACTATAACAGAGCAGAGTGACCTAGGGAAGACTAAACATTAGGCATACACACCAGCCAAGAATGTCACATCCTCAGAGAGTCCTTGTCCAAGACCTTTGGAAACTATAGGGCTTTTACTCTTACATCAGTCCCCATGAAGTCAGGATCTGTGAAGGATCTGGGATTTTACCCTATTTGCAAGCTAACAAATTAGCCTATCACTATTTCATGGATACTGGCAGAATACAGGAGACACCTATGTCAGAGGCAGAGAACTTAATTACTCATAACACAGCAAGCAGTATGAGCATGAGGTTGGTGTCAATTTCCCATTCCCCTCAAGTCTCACAGAAGCAACAAAGATGTGTTTAAATGGATGCTGGGCATTCCGTGGGTTTGTGGAGCATTTGAGAAGCACTGAGCTTAGGGAATCACTGTTCTTATAGTGAATGGTGAGCTGCCTGAGTTGGGGAGGTTACCTTATTTTTCAGGGTTGTTCACTGCAAACACAGCCCAGAGAAATGGCCTGAACAAAGAGCAGTCTGGGTCTTGCATTCTTGGCCTACCCAGCAAGACATTCAGGGCCTATGGCAGATTGTGCTGGGACATTCAGGGCCTATGGCGGATTGCCCCTCCCGACACCCTGCCCCTCAGCCCAACTGACCAGAAGTTTGAGAACAACCTTGACTTCTACCCACTGATCCCAGCAATCACCTTAGCTGGCAGGAGCACTATCAGCAACATCAGTTTTCAGCTTAGCTGAATCAGAGGTGAAACAGGCCCAGGCATTTAGGAGAATCTCTGTGAATCCAAGGGCTCCATTGAGCCAGTAGCTTTGCTTCAGGTGGCAGAATGGGATAACCTTTTTCCCAAAGGACTACTACTACTTTATGCAAAATTGTAATAACAGAGTCAGGCCAGCCAGGCCCTCAAATACATTT